GATTCTGCAGAGTAGTCCGAACACAGCAATTTCATTTCCTTCATTCTGGGCTACTACCAGAAAGTTTTAACTTTGCTCCTGTCTGCGTGCTGTCTCGGGGAGCTCTCCTTCCTTTTATTTCTCCCTTTCTTTTCCATTCTGCCTTTTCCATCTGGTGCCAGAACAGCGTTTGACACTTGCTATTTAATCATTTGTCTGTGCATATGGAAGTCGGCTGAGTACCATAAAGTGCAGCTACTACAGGGCTGGCATTTGGGAACATCAGTCTGCTCCTTTACTGGCTTTGGAGCCAGAGTCCAGGTACCTTGCTTTCTTTCTTTCTGTCTGTGTGTTGCAGCAATACGTTTCAACTACTTCCATTTGCTACAATAAATCTAAATTTGCCAATACATAAGAGCAGGTTTCCAAAAAAAAAAAAAAAAAATTCACTTAAGTTTCAGCTCAGTTTCTAACATACAAGTATCCTTCTCACTAAAACCACCATCAGATTAGGAGAAGGGCTGTCTCGACAAAGGGCACTGAGCTTAGACCCACAGGATATGGGCTAATTTCCTGGCTCAACCTCAGCATATCACACAGAGACTTTAGGCACATCCCTTAAGCTGTTCTGTGGCTCAGTTTCCCATCTGTAAAAGGTTGATAATACCTTTCCTTCTTTACAGAGTTGTTCTGATTTTAAACGTCCCTTGTCATCAGAAACTTGCTCAGATATTGTGGTATGAAATAGAAATACTAAAACATAAAAATTGGCACTCTTGCTGTTCTCGGGCTATGGACTGAATGAGCCACGTTTAAACAAAGATTCCTCGTGGCCAACGACACCATAGCGACATTGTGTTACTGCATATTACAGTTTCCGTGTTTTTGAAAGATGTGGAGCCTAAGGCATAGTTGTCCAGTGTCCCCAGCTAAGTTCCTGAAATGTGACATTTATAAGCAATGCGTTTTGCCTGCCTCCTGTTTAGACCTCACTGCTTCCTAGCTGACCTGCCATTAGCGCTACGTGAATAAACTGGCCAATTCAAGAATATTGTTCTGAGTCGACCCCAAGCCAGAATGTCTCAGAATAGGAGGCGAAATGAAACAATTTGTTTCATTTCCAGGCATTTTTAATACAAGCAAAGAGCTAGATTCACAAGGGGAGCTAAATAACATTAAAAAGACAATAGTGATGGTAGTGCCCTATCTTTATACTCAAAAAGTTAGGAGAGACAGAAAGCAGTATGGCTATAGGGGTGGGGAAACTAACCCATGAGTTGGAATGGAACCTGGTTACAGCTTTAACCACGGAGGGATTACAGGTTGTCAGCAATAAACATGCAATATATACATACATATATTACATACATATACATACACCCACCCACCCTGCCTTAAGTATGTTGCAGGGACAACCTAACATCTAAAAATCACAACTGCATGATTTTTGCCTCCTCCATCGGTAGTCATCAATAAAGATTTTGTAAGCAGAACCTAATAGACAATTTTGTTGATGATGCTGGAGACAAAGTAATAGCCATCTTAATAATCTGAAGCAGGAGTTTCTGAAGAGCTAAGAAGAGTGAAAAATTATATTATATATGAGGTTGATATACAGGAGACCCTCGCCATTCACGGATTTGCAATTTTCAGTTTTGAATATTCATGGCGCGCCGCACCAACCCACGCTCTCTCCCCGTGCAGCGTGATGACACTGTTACTGCGCTCTGGTGATACTTTTACATTCAGTACATTGCAGTACTGTATTTCAGCATTAATCCACACCCTTAATCCTGGCACCTAAAAAAAAAAAAAGCAAATGATAGTGCAGCGAGGATCCAGTCCATTTATCCTAGCCTATTATCAGTACAGCACAGTATTCACAGATCTCCCCATTCGCGGGGATCTCTAGAACGTATGTCCCGGGAATGGCAAGGGTCAGCTGTATATCTATCTATGTATAGCTATAACTAATTAGCTACCAGGCATGAGCGAGTCAGCAGCAGGGGTGAGGTTTGTGACCCAGATTTAGGGTCGCAGCAAAAAAAGGTTGGGAGCCACTGATATATAGTGCGAGGGGTCAACAACAGAGACTGTTGAAACTCAGCTTTCCAAAATACCTATATCTAAAGAGTCAGGAAAGTAGGCAGATATGTCTCAAAAACTCAAAGAGGAGAATAGTTAAGTTATGTTACTGCTCTTACTGTTAACTAAGAAAGTGCTATTCTAACAATCACTGTGTTCTGGCTCTTGAGACACTTTATCACTAAGATCCCAATTCACCTTGCACCAAATCTGTTGGAGTCTTCTCTCTTCGGTGGGAACTGAATCAAGTCCTGGTATCACTAGAAGCAAAGCCAAAAAGCTGTTGTGTACCCTCCCATGCTCCTGCTCTAAATCTTTCCAACAGCCATCTACAATCCGGTTGGGAGCGATCACCCTTTCTAAGGTTTAGAGATTATTCCAGTGCTCTCCGGGCTCAGAGCTGAGGTTATCCAGGCTGCAAGTCATCCCATTATAGACCATTGTTGTCAGTTATTTCCAAACATGTTTGGCTTCTGCAATTAGAACCATTAACAATGGGATTTCACAGATGTAGGTTACAAGCTTTCAAAAAAGAAACAGCAGTCACAGACAGTGGGGAAATATTTAAGAACTACTTATCCCCTAATTAAACAAGGTACTGTACTCTAAGTGCTGCATGCTAAGCAGTGCTCCAGCGAACGCTTATCTTAACCCTACAGAATTACACGACAACGCTGAGGTTCCAATCTGGGCTTTTCTTAGCCAAGTCTCATCTCACACACAGATGGAGCCGTTTTGCTGTCGTTACCGTCTGAATATGTCAACGTAAAAAGAAGAATTACGTTCAAACGTATCCAAAAAGAAAATCACCTCGGGCAGAACACCGGGATCTGCAGATTTGACTTGAGTTTGACAAAATGACGGACGAGGCAGGTTGGGTTGTACTTGAAGCAGGCACATACGTGTTTTTTGGTTGTTTTTTTTTAAAGGAGTGAATTAACACCCAAACCCCAAGACAAACTGAGGGAATGCTTTGTGCAGGGCCTGCAAAGATGCTCTTCAAAAACTCCCCAGTCCTGGGCAAGCTGCATCCTGGCCTGGATTCCAAGGCCAGGTTAAAGCAACCATCAGGTTTCAACACCACTGCAGCGGTCTGGGGGTCAAGGGGAGCCTGGTTGCAGCCTCTTCTCTTAGTCAGCTGACTATATGAACATCCACAAAAGGAGGAGGAGGGCAAGTAGGATAGGCACCATGGTACCTCTTCCCTTTCTGAGAATTCAGCTATGCAGAGAGGACAAGCCAGTGGCTGAATCTGCTTGATTTCAGCTGGTGTTTTCCCACCAGCACCAAGTGACTGGAGCAGAGCCCAGGACTGAGGCCAGAGTTCAAATCAGACTTGGTTAATTAACTGAATGAAGTTGATGGCTTTCAAGCCACGTGGAAACCATGTTCTGCCCTTTATTGGAGCTAAAGCAAAATATTTTAAAATCTGTTTGCAAAAACAGACTAATGAGAATCAGCCTGGGGGTGAGAGCCTGAAAGGCAGAGAAAGGGCTGATTTAGGGTTACCCACTGTGAATCAAGTAGAGCAAGGACTAAAAGTTAGGTCCTCCACACCCGAGCCTGTGCCCTAATAACCTTCATATAAAGCAGTGGCTCCCAACCACTATGCACGACCCAAATCAGGGTTGCAGGGGGTCTGCTCCTTGCTCCGCCCCTCCCGGTACACGGTCTGCACGGGTCTCACTGCCGTTGCCCCCCATGATCCCAGCTTGGCCCAGGCTCTGCTGGCACCGCCGGGCATAAGTGAGTCGGCGGCGAAGGTGGGCATCACAACCCAGATTTAAGGTCGTTGCAAAAAAAGGTTGGGAGCCACTGATATAGAGCGCGAGGGGTCAAGAAACAGCATTTTTAGACCAAATAAAATGTCATTAAAAAGATCCTAACCAGGTCTGCTCAGGTATTCTGGGGCTTTAATTCTTCCCTCTACACGATCTACATTGCACAATCCACTAACCATCTATATTCACATTCTGTACAGTTTAAGAGTGAAAAATCAAAACCTATTCCTCAGCAATGGGATTTTAGAAGTTTGTTCAGCCTTTCCCTTAAAGCAACCACCTCCTCCTTTTTTTCTTTAATTGAAGATTTAAGCTAAACTACTATAGCTATTCTGGAAATATAATGAAAGTGCTGCCAACCCCAAAGCCTAAATACTGAAATAAGACAATAGATCAGTCAGTCTCATTATGGCTTCTTTGTACTTCCTTTAAATTATAGGTCTGTAAAGGTATTGGGCCTAATTGTCTTGTAAGTCACTGTCATGCCTGCCTCCTTGCTAAATGCCATGGCACAGAAATGAAGGCTATCTCACTTTTTCTTCTGTTTCTTTGTGGTTTGTGAAGTAAACATTTCAATCATGTTGCAAATCACTTCCCCGGCCCCCTTAATTGGGTTAGGATTACAGTGAATATGGAAAATAAACAAAGGAAGGACAAAAAAAGATTCACACACAAACTGAAACTGAAAACAGAGTCATCCCTTCTGTACGGAAAGGCTGCAAAATATGACAGAAGATAGCAGAAAGAAGACCCACGTTGAAAAAACAATGACAATCCATAGCTTAGAATGCTTTCTGATTAGATTAAGTGTCAAATCTAAATGGCATCCTCAATACGACGAGTAGTCCCATTGGCTTGTAAACCCTGAGAACTATTTGCACTGGTAAGGTTATCACTGTTTAACCCTTCATGTATTATCCTGACTGTAGCTGCACTTGGAATAGCCTCTCTATGAACATCTGGCCTCCATTCATGGAGTTAAAAATTCACTGTGGATGCCTAGGAAATACGAATGATATTGTGCTACTGCATTGGTAACATCTCTGATTTCAACTCTTCTGATCATTGGAGTCTCTTGACAGGACAATTTTTTTTTTTTTTACATGCCACTGCTCTTTTCTGGCAGTCTCGTCTGAACATATGTATTTGTGTTACCTTTAAAGAGCCGTGCTTCTCCTTCCCTCCAAGAATCACAATTTCTGCCATATCTTCAGTCTGAGAAGACCGTGCGTGGATGAACAATGCTCGACCAGCTTCTGTTACATTTTTCCGAGCCACTAAAGACCCATCAGGTTCCACCTTGAAGTCTGGGTTAGAAACTTCGAAGTTCAATTTGTCATTTCCCTTGCAGTCATCAAACGCCACTGGAAAAGAGCAAGAAATAAGAGAAGAAGTATGAATTTATAACTCCGGTTTCAGACTGCTATAACCAACCTGCTTTTTCAAGAAACTTCAAATCAGTGTTTATCTTTATATTTGCACAATCAATCACAGCTTCGTGGACACGCTTATGAGAAGGGTGGTTCAGAAACGTTGGCCAGGCTGTTGGAGGGCTTAGGAAATGAACTGAACATTGCAGACACAAACATTTTGGGAGCAAATAACAAAGACGTGCATTTCCTTTACAGCTAAAATTGGCTGCTTTCAAAATCCTTTGTTTCATAGTGTATTGTCAAAACGATACGCGACAGAAAATTTTGCCAGAAAAATGCTATCATTTGATTTTCTTTATCATCAATATATTTGGCTGACTCGATGAATTCCGCCTTAAATGATGTTCTCAAATCTCTCTTGTCAATGCTGTCCCGTTCTGCCGGCAATATTTAAAATATTCATTGAGGCAGACAGAAAGAAAGGCTCCATTGCCTTGTGGTTTAAATCCCCGACACAGAATTAGGCAGGGAGTGGATCGGTACTCATGTCTCCCCCACTAGGTTATAGGGTATTTTTAGGTGGCCTCTCCCTTAGTCATCCCGCTGGAACCAATCCACTTTACGTAAAATATTCTTAAAAATTCACTGGAGCAATTCGGGAACCTAGAGTGCCCCAGTCACCTGTTTCACTCTCACTGGCTCAATAAATATTTACATACGCCATACTAAAAGGAACAGCATCGCCATAAGGTATCGACAGCGATACACTCTCAAATACCTTTAAACTTGGTGGTTTTGACACTCTCCTGGAAAAAATAAATAAATAAATAAAATAAAATCAAGGAAGGCAATGAACCCATTTCTTCCAGGTGTTGGGCCACTGCCTCAGTCACTGGACTTCTGGGTAATACCAGCATGTCCTCTTCACTGGTTTGTGAATGCAACCTCCCCTCCACCAATTAAAACAATTTGGGAAATTCATCCACCACGTGAATAGTTTAGGTGAACAGTTTACCTGCTGGAAAATGTTTCCCAAAAGCTTTTAAGAATCCCCACTTACATAGATTTGCTATTGCTGGGCACCCTGATCGCTTGATCTTCAGGATTCTGCCTTTACTCTACTTTATATTTTTATTGCACTGTTATTACTGAGGAATCAATCGAGCACAAACAACTACTCTGTAAAAGGATCTCTGCACACACATACACACACGTGTGCACACGTGTGCATGGAAATAGCAGGCAGATTGTAACTAAGAAAGATTCTGTGCTTAATTATATTAATTTCCAGCCACACAACCAGCAAGCCACAGCAAGATGTTCTATGAGGAAATATCTGTCCCTGTTCTTTTACCTGTCTTATTGAACTGTATGCTGAAAATGTATCTTTGCTTTTAACTTAATCTTATTCTGATCACATACCTATCACGTACATAACCTGAACTTGAACCTTTTCTTGCAGCACTGTTAGATTTCTTAACCATTATAGATTTATTCTATTGCCGCGTTTGCCCCCAAAGACATTGCAGGTTTAACAGGTGCTCCTGGCTCTTAAATACTGTGAATGCCACTGCCTGCAGTAATTACACACTTCATTAAAAGAGAATCTCTGTTACATCACGTCAGCTTTAGACTTCATAATAAACCATACAATTAAGACGTCTCCACCAAAAATTTGGAATAACTACATAAGCCTTTTGGGTATCGCCATATGAGGAAGACCTACTGCATGAGTCCTTTTTTTTGCAAAGGATCTGGTCCAGACTTCCTGAATTGCTTCCCTGAGTCGCTGGTACAGTAGACGTGCCTTTACTATGTGTTGCTTTGATTTTGTATTCCTCTCATTATAGGTTCTTTAAAAACTGTGTTACAGTTTTGGAAGCGGGGACAGACAGGCAAACAGATTACAGAAGATCAAAGACATTAGGCTGTCATTGAAAATAAAGTAGTTTCTAAGCGACTAATTGGTTAAATCCACTGCCAGAATTATCACGTTAGGTTCGGTTGCTGTTTTCAAAGTCATGACGCTCCTAGATTCAATCACAGCTTGGCCAACTCTGGAGCCAAAACCCTGGTCTCAGAAGCACGTAATCACCATAACTAGACTTATGTCACGGAGAAATTCTTGAACAGACTGGGACCACAGTGCTGCTGGGAACGTTCCTGCAAGGCCCTTCTCCACCAGGATCCCTACAAGCTCTAGTGGATTAAGCATATATTTAGGGCACCACAGTTTTGAGGACTGAGCGTGCAGGGGTCCCAGAGTCCAACTGCACTCTTCTGCAGAACCAAAGGGACTGCCTCCATTGCAGAAAAACTGTGGAGAGAAAGATATCTGTAGCCCTTTACTGATTCCTGAGTGTAAGTATAAAGGACACTCATGCCATATCTTATGTGATATGGCTTAATGCTCCAACAGGCGCATTGGAAATGACAGTTCCAGCTGGGAGCTGCATGTACTCAGCACCTATTTACAGTGGGTCTTACATAGGGCAATACATTCATGTAAATGCAGCAGCAAAGGGAAGCAGATAGTATAGGGGCAGGCTAAGCCCTAAAGGGCAGATCCAGTGCTTAAAGCAGCATTTAAGTGAAACTTAGGTGGCATCTAGGTGTCTAAGTCCAAGGTTGTGAACCTGAAAACCCCTATTCAATTGCCATCTTCACCCGGGGGTGACTACATTTATTAGGATTTTCTTGTATTTTACTTTCTGTAGGCAACTGAAAAGTTGTACTTCTGCACAAGTGCAGAAAGAGAAGACAAGAGACAGCATGGCTATACATGCATACATGGCCAGGCATGCATCTGGGAGGGAGCCCGTGGTTCTGATCCGTTCTCGCAAGTCCCTTTATATTTCATCTATTCATTGCTGGGTGTAAAACATAAAGGACAATCCTTAGAGCAGGAACCAGAGCTGAGTACTTCCTCTTTCCTCCCTTCGAGTGCCTTTACCCCTAGAGAGTCAAAATCAGAGTCTCTTCTGCACTCTCTTTTTGGCCCAATTAATCCGGACTTCTGTAAAGTGGCATTTCTTCAGAAGGAGAGGCTGAGAGTACTCCCAACCAATCTAGCCTATAATCTGGTAGCTAGGGTGGTCACCTGGGGAGGTGGGAGATGTAGCTTTGAATCGCTCAGTTAACGAAGGGAAGTGATCCCCAAGTGAGCTGTGATAAGCTAATCATGAGGCTATTACACAGCAGGGTATTACATACCACTAGCATGCCATCTTCCCCTTCTCTAAAAGGAGTGAGCCCTGCTTAATTTTGGGGAGGAGATGGTAGGTCACAGGTGCCTTTTAGAACCCAGGCCAGGCTCCTAAATCATGAGTGAAAAGAAACCCCCATCGTGGGGGTGAGCATGGAGGGATTTAAGACTCACCCCTGTCTTCAGTGTTTCCCTCTTGGGTTGCTTTAGACTGTTACATGGTACATGTGCTAAAATTCAGCTATCTTCTTCGTGCTTTTAGGAACCTCCCACTCATAAGCACTGTACAGGGAGAACTCGGGTGCCTCATTCAGGATTCTGGATTGCTGTTCAGGGAGCAGGCGTCTAAAAAGGTAGGTGCTGTGGCATCGAATTTGCATGTGAGGCACATCGGTGCCAGGGCTGTCACAGAACTCAGCATGTTCATTGAGATCGTGCCACACTCATGGCAAGATTCACATAATCACAGTAAGATCTGGATGTAAGGCTCTTTATTAGCAGCCTGCCCTAGTTTAAAACTATCATACGCAGCTCATGTCAATGATAAGACAGGCATTTTAATAGGTGCACAGAAGTCTTATCATCCAATCCACTTAAAATAAACAACAATCCCCCCCTCTGCTTCCAAACACATACAAACGTGGGAATAAGATGTTAAGAGACCAGGATTTTGGGGAGGTGATATATTTTATTGGTCCGGCTGTACTGTTAAGAATAAGGTTAGACAAGCCCTCAAATGCAAGACATTCTTCATCGGGAATAAAAGGCTGACGTTCTTCAGCTAGATGTGCTATGTAGATCCCATCCTGACAGAGGCAATCTGAGTAGATTCTCTTTGAAATCGTTTTTATTTCCTCGTGACAATCAACTTAAAATTACATGTTACATTGTATAAAAGTGCCCCTCTCATGATTAAAAAAAAAAAAAAAAAAAAGGCTTCTAGTGATGTACTAGTCTACTAATAGTTTGCTTCTGGTAATATTTGGCGGCTGCTGCTTTGGCAAGTTGAGTGTGAAGGAAGGAAGGCAGCAAGCAAGCAAGCAAGGAAGGCAGGACTTTGACTTTTTAGCTACTTTATTTAGGGGCTTAGGGTATAAAATTTAACCTCTTTGGGATCCAGGTCCAATATACAAAGCAAAGACAGACAAATTACCATCAAACCAAAATCACCATGCCATTACATTCATAACATCACACTGTGACAGACACCTTCACAGTATTACACACTGTGCCTAACATGCCGTTGTGCAGTCCAGACGCTCGGCCACACAGTCGTATAAACCAAAGCCCTCTATAAACAAATGGTTTCTACCCTGCTCTATCCAATCCTACACATGACAAAACCTTCAACTTCCCACACAAAGAAAAAAAAAAAAAAAAGCATCAAAAAGCAGCCTGGTGAGGGCCCAGGGCGTGACACGGGCATGGAGGTGCAGTCCGCCACCAAGCCTGCCCGTTCTCCCAGATCGGTCATGACATCAGACCCTGTATTGAAGACAAAGGAAGGAACGAACGAATGAAGCAAGCAAGAATACAGAGCAACCCTGAACAAATAGGGCAAAGTTTTCTCTTGAAAAACTGAGACCGCGCTTCAAAGCAGTAATGCCACCAAGCAGAGCACTATAAGCTACATTCAAAATGTGGCTACACTTCACTGTGCTTCAAAAAAAGGTATGGACTTTTCACAGCGCATTTCTCCAGCAGTGCAATTCAGCATTCACAAGTGTCCACATTTCCTGCATTGCTGCCATCTGTGTGCACTGCAGAAATGTTAAGAGCTCGTGAA